TAGATCAGTTCTTCCTGTAGCAGTTGCTCACTGGTTCCTTATTCACGATGGAGAACAAGAGATATCTGAAAGCAGAGGTCATGCAGATGACGTACGCATGCATTTTCAAATTCTGCCTTTGAAAATCCACTCTTAAGAACAGTCAATATTGTTGAGCTTTGCATGTGCACTCTCTAGACATCCCGAACTGGATGAGCCATTATCCTCCAGGGTATGACCTGCCAACTGCTTTCGGACTTGCTCACTCAAGTATCAGCAGAAGTATTTGCCTGACACTGCTCAGTATGCAGAGGTAGCTTGAAAAGGTACCAGTCCAGAGCTTGTTGTTGCACTAATTAATCCCAACAACACTACAATGATCGCACATTGCTAACTCACAGCTAAAACAGTATGTTGGTGCTTTTGATGTTAAGAAAGGTTAGGTTATAGAGGATCCAGCAGCTACACGAAAGAACTAGCAATATGCTGAACTGCCATCTGACTTAAATCTCTCTACCTCCATGGTGTGCGGATGGAATGCCAGGTTCCTCAGGGGCTGCAGGATGCGGTTCCGCCCACACAGCAAGACAGCTGCGGTGTGAACAGCCATTTCAATTAGTGCTCCATCGTGGCCAAAGCTTTGAGGATCCACGGTCAGAGATGGCAGTGCGTTCATCACAAGAGAAGCTGCAAAGTGCTGCAGGTCTGGAGAATTCAGGACTTGGGAGTTCTGGATGAACTTAGTCATAGCATCTGTTTGCTGAAAGCACATATTTAAAAGAAATAAAACTAGCATGCTGTTACCCACCAAACCGAAGATGACTATCAGCTGCTTCCCATGCTGTGTTGCCCCTGCTTTGAAAACATTTTCATTCTGCTCTGATCAGGACATAACTGTATTTGGGGCAGGAGAACAGAAGGCTCTCCCATCAGTGATTTAAATCTCATTCATCCTTATCAATGAAGCATGTTTGTGATGAGCTTTCAAAGTGAAATATCTTACCTGCTGTTTGGGATGAAGACTTGAGTCACCAGCTCCATACAGGGCGGTGACCTCTCGGAAAATAGCCAGGAGCAGATGGACAGATTGTACCGCTGGGGAGCTGCGTGATGCCTGGGAAAGAAGAACTGATGATATGGCAGAGCAGAGGCTATAGTGGTCACAGCTGCAGTTTGACGAGGTTTCAGCTGGTTACTGGCCCTGCAGGCTTCAGCAGGTCTGTGGTAAAGCTCTCCCCACACAGGAAGGGGGACAGTGCAGAAATGGCTATCCAAGCCATAAATAAATGAGTAATCTGACAGCACTCAAGCTGATTGAGGGTTTTACGTCAGAAAACTCTCAGGTATTTTATTCTTCTACCATCCAGTCGGAAATGCAATCTTACTAGGCAGCCTTCCTTCAAATCAAATCAACATGCAAGTGAAAAAAAAAAAAAGTCACAACCAGCGCATGACAGACAGGACAGAGACATTCAAAGGTGCATTGTCTGCAAACTTCTCCCTGAAGGTTTTCATACATGAGATACATAACAGAGAAAGGTTGCAATCACACAGAAATCAGCCATTTGATTTTGTGTGGCAAGAGACAAGGCTAGGCAGATCTGGGCAGGCAGGCAGGAGGCATGAAGTATCTCTGATTACCTGCCTTACCTCCAGTCAGTTGGCTACAAGGTGCCTGTACTGCTTACTGTAAAACAAACTGCTGCGATAGATTACAAGGGGAGAAAAGTGAGATGAGGCAACGAAGGGAAATAACCTCAGAGTTATATATGCTAGAACACAGGTGAGAAAACAAAGTGAATATAGGTGCGTCTGCCAGCATAAGCCACAGTAATTTTCAAGCAAAGGCAAACCCAGGCATCTCCACTGGAAGAGACACAGCCAACAGGAACACATAAAGCTTGAACACCGGCCATCCAGAACCCACGATGGGATTATAGTGAGGAGGACGTGCCCTACCTTCTCTGCCTCTAGGAGACTCTCAGTCTTGCACTCGATCATGGCTTTCCCCACAGCATCACGCAGGACTCTGTAATTCTCGCCACATGCCAAGTAACGATCGATGTGATTAGACTGGCTGTTCTGTACCTACAAAGGGAGAAGCCCATGGTGAGCACTGTGGACATCAACCAGCCACTGGACAAGGCAGAATCTCCTCTTTCTCCCAAGAACCGTGACACTTCAACCTTCGCAAAGGGACGGCAGGCAGGCACGGCAACCCAAATAGCTTCTCGCTGCCATAACAGACTCCATTCAATAGAGAGCGAGAGTAAGTCATCTTCACAACCACTCCCACTGTGATGGGTTCACCAGAGCCACGCAGCAGTAGAAACACCCCAAAGCAGCACAAACTGAAACCAAGAGGAGACCAGAGTGGTCTCCAAGGAAACACCTCTTCTTTACCTGTTGCAGAATCTCCCCTGGGAACACCCACTTAAACTGTGCCTCCGTGACAAGCTTCTGAGCAAATTCCATCCCATGCTGACTGGCAATTTTCCGGATGAGGTAAACACGATGCCAGTCGTTCCTGGCAAGGCTACAGAACACCCTCACATTTGCCAGGTAGCGCTGCTTCTCCTCCACTTGGTCTTGCTCTGGAGGGGAAAAAAGGAAAAAGGCAAAACCACATCCTATGTTGTAAAACTTTTCTGTCAGCACTAGCTGTAGCAGCAAGCTCCTTTTCCTAGCACTGACTAATTACACAGGAGCACTTGAGAGCCCTCTCTTCCTCAGAAGCTATCTCGAGTGTTTCCTCGGCTGGATTTCAGACAACAATTCATTTCTTCAATGGAGGATGACAAACTCTACTTCCATTTCCTCCTCTCAGGGACAAGTCTTACTATTATCGGTAGCTCATTCTCAGAGCTCTTCCGCCTTGCTCAGTAATGGCTTTCCATCGTCTCAGCTGCCAAGGTGACAGTGCTCCCTAGAACGATCTCCTGCAATGCACCTTGCTCGCCCGACATCCTCAATGCAAGGCCTGGACACTGAAGTCCCTTGGAATTATTTCCATTACCAACTTTGATGCTTCATTGACTGTGTAACTATCTGAGACTCTCCACATGCTGTTCTCCCTCATTGGGTCAGCAAATCAGCTCAAAACTTCTTTTACTTATTTTTTGGAAGTATCTCTTCATCCTTTTTAGCTGTGCAGAGCTCCCATTCATATAAAGCAATCAGCCTTACAGCAGTCATGTACCTGACATATCATTTATGCTTTATTTCTTTATTCATTAAAGTTCAATTTAGTTGGTCCTACATACAATTTCATCGTTAGCACCTGGAGGATAAAGTAAGTCTCCTTCCAAAGGCACAACCACTATGTCACTACACCCTAGGGCTCACTGGCACAGCCTTGCCACTACTTACAGAGCACTTGTAATACATGGTAAAGAGGACAAACGACTGACACTCCTAATGAAAGAGAAGAGAAAAAAGCCGATGCACTCGTTCTCGGCCACGCATCCAAATGAGTTCTAGCACAGCATGGGTGCACTGGCTGTGTCCAGCCCATCTCCCATGGTGACTGTGCTCCGTATGCAGCATTTCCATTTGAGAGCAGAATAATTAGACTTACCTGTGCGCTCGTGCAAGTCAAAGAGCAGCTCTGCAGCCTTACTCAGGTACAAGCGAACCTTGGCTACTGCCTGCAGATATTCAACGGATGATTCCTGAGGACTTTCTTGATTGTTCTTTGGGAGATAGTTCTCTGGAAAGCCTTTGTCTCCAGGCAGATAGTTTAAATGCTCATATCCAAGGCTGCCCTCAGATTTTTCACACATAGAATCCTAAAGACGGGCCAGAACGTTGCATGAGTGGCAGAACCACTTCAATCAGATGACCTGTGCATTGGTACTTTCTATCTCCAACGCATCCACGCTGCAGTAAGCACATTAAACTCTCATGTCTCTCACAGCACCCTCCACTCCAACGCCATTAGCTCCTCCCTGTGATCCCTCCGGTGCTTATCCCACACCTCTGCCATGTCACCAAACACCTTCAGCAATACGGCCAAGCTCTCCCCAATATTTCCTAAGCATGTAGCCGAGCAAGATTGTTATGAACATGCTGTCTGGCCATACACATGCTGAAGCACACATCACACATTCCAAGATGCCAAGCTCTACCTGTCTTT